AAAAATGTGGTCCTCAATCTCAGAAATTAAATTGCCTATAATAATATTGCTTCTGCCTTTTCCATATTCCTGGGACTTAAAGATCAAAAAGGAAGTACGTTCAGTCTGAAGATACAGTATATGTTCATTTAGGCAAAGAAAGGATAAGGCACACAACACTAACAATAAAGACCAGACAACGAAAATCTAAGTCCACCTAAAATCTTATACACACATTTGCATAGCAGCATTATCCATAACAGTGGAAAAAGCCAAATATGCAACAGCTGATGGATTAATCAAATGGCATACCCATGTAATAGAAGATTCTAAAATAAAAAAAGTACAAAGTTGGGGCCAACAGAATGGTTCAGTTGACTAATCCTCCACCTGCAAGCGCCAGCCTCCCACATGAGTGCCTGTTGGTGTTCCGGCTGCTCCACTTCCCATTCAGCTCCCTGCTTATGGTTGGGAAAGCAGCAGTAGAGGATGACCCACTTTTCAAAAGGACACAGCTGAATAACCACCTACTTCTGGAGTCTTCTCTAATATCTCCAAGTAGAAGACAAATGGACAGACAGACAGACATAAAATACAGTAAATTCCAAAACTTGACAAGTCATTTTGATGGTAACTTTATTATGGAAAATATATATATTCAAACACACTTATCTCTCAGGGGAAAATTAGCCTATGTCAACTACACCAGTCATTTAACTTAGGAGCTAAAAGGACGGTTCTCTTCCCTGGAGCCAAGATCAAGGCCAGCTGCCTGAAGGCCAGATGAAGGTCTCAGTGCAAGCTGGGGTCACTGTGTGGACCACCTGGAGCAGTTCTCCATTTGGCTTGACTTCCTGTGGTCTTAGGAACCACTAGAAGTTCACAGGAGAACCCCACACTTACTCCAAGAAACCAGAGAAGCCACAATTTCCCTCAAATTCTAGATCTGTGTCACCCCTGCAAATACTACAGTCACCAAGTTGCTGATGAGCCCTTGGAATGTGGCTAGTCCAAAATGAGATGTCCTTGAGTAAAATAGACACTGTATTATGAACTCAGCATTCTAGCTATTTGGAGTAAAATACAATTTTCTATTAAAATCAAGGTTATCAGTTTCTTTTTGCCTTCTTAGTGGGATGACTAGAACATTTAAAATCCATGTATGGCTCACATCTCTGTTTGCAGTGCTGCTCTTCACCGCATCTAAGCTGCCCTGGTACCAGGACCCATGGGCTCTCACTGTGTCAATGTTTCTCACACAGAAAGAGGAGACAGCAGCCTTGGCACAGAGGAACATGGGAAGCTTTCAAAGCCATACTGATGCTGACTTCCACTGAGAACAGCTAATGAAGTGAGGATGAGCACAGCCTATCAGAAACTCTGGAACCCCTCAGAACGGAGTGCTGTCATCAGCAGGACACTCAGGGATCTTAGTGCCACTGCGCTGAGACTTCGGTTCTCTGACACAGAGCTTCCCCTCTCCCGTTGCTGCTGAGCAGATGGGCCTCAGTGACAGCAGAATGGGGTCCCCTCGAATTCTGGGTGATTCTATGAGTCTGCACATCATCACAGAACACTGGAGTTGCCTTGCCAGGTAAACACTTTCCCTTCCCGCTCTAGGCGCTGCCTCCATCACACTGTCCTCATTAACTATTAAACTTCCATCTTTCTCAAAGCTCTATGAGATGTTTATCTTGTGAGGTTAACATTTGAATGCTAGGCTATATCAGAATGTTTTGCTGCCCTACAAAACCACCCAGTTTCTAAAAAGGAAAGGCACAGCACCTATGTTGAAAACATCATCTGATTACTGGGTTAGTGGAGAGTGAAGGCTGATGCAATCCTGCATCTGGCTGCATCAGCTACTCAGTGTGACAGGAACTGAGCAAGGTCAGGCATTTGAGAAGTCATGAGAAATGACTGTCATGGTGCTAATGTAGTCAGGGCAGCAGCCATGTCACAGGGCATACACAGCCCAACTCCTCCACCCCAGTGCCCAGACACAGGGAGTGCTCAACGACATTAAACAAGGGCAGTTTGAGAGTTGATTAGGAAATACTCAGGTCTTCCAAATCCTGAGATGTGGTCTCTGACAGCCAGAGCTGGCTCTGGCTGGCTGGTCTGGCAGCCAGATTAGGCCTTGTGTCCTCTTCTTAAACATAATTCCACATTAACATCAGACCAGACCATTCTGTGGTCAGTGTGGATGAAGATGAAAACAAGGTTACCTCCTAATTATATCTCAACGCAGACAAAACCTGAACATTGTCCAATGGCGGAAGTGACCAAGCAGCCTGGCTAGGGAGCAACTAAGGCTGCTTTCCCATGATCAACTCCAAACTCCCTGGATTTTCTTACCTTCTAAGACAATCAGTCCCAGAAGGACCTGGATTCCTGACAGCTTCCAGTTCCTGGAGCCCAAGGGAGGTGACACCTGGCAGCTACCGAGTCAAGGGAATTCCCTCATTCACTGGGTCAAGACACCCAACAGTGCTCCTCAATGGAACGAACGATCCTTATCCATAAGCACCCCTGTCCAGGTCAATGACGCCCATGGTTGTCACTGTGCGTGTGACACAGGCAGAAAAACAAAGAAGCACATGGGATAGGAAAAACAAAACCTATGACTATCAGGCTTCACCCCAGTATGGCAGAGGAGGGTGACTTCCCATGCCCCCCTGGGGTTATGTACCAGCTTCCACTTCTTCTCAAGGCCTTCAGAATATAAAAACTAACAGCATTAACCATGACCTACACCAGCACAAATACACATCAGATTCCAGCTCTTCAACTGATGGGCACGACTAAGGAATGAACACAAACCATTCAAAGTCCAACACCGATCTCCACATAGACGGGAGGCCTGGGGCCCCAGAAGTCCTGTCCAGCGTGGACTTGAGTAAGTTACTTAAACTGGATCTGCTTCTCTGAACCCTGCACACCGAGAGGACATAAAGTTGTGTGGGATGCCAGAACACAGGCCCAGAACTGTGCCTGGTACACAGCACTCAAATAAGATCACTTCATATCTCAAAAGGTGGAAGCTCATGAAACAGGATATTAAAAATAACACATTACAGCAAAGCCCTTCTCATAGACGTCAGCCTCTTGAAAAGATCATCCCAAAATTAGCTTTTCTTTGAAATTTGCCTAAATCCATTGGAATTTGCCCCAAAAAAGTCATAGCATGACATCCATGACACCTCTTGTGGCTGACATGAGAATCCTCCCAAACTATAAAACCCTCCAGCAGCAAACCAGGGGTCCACGGCTGGCTCACCTGTTCACTGACTGACTGTGTCTGTGACTAACCAGCCTGGTTCCTCCACCATACACTGGCTCATTAGCTTCATTAGAAGTGCTCTGGCAGCCACAGTCAGCAGTGGTGGACCACAGGCTGCCACCAGGGTCACTCACAACCACTTTCCTCACTGATGGACCCATCTTAGCCAGACATTGCTGATAACTCTTGCAACACTAGACATTCCTCTACCATGGCACACCTGTCCACTTGCCCACCAGGCTGGAAACAGGTGGATAATGCGCAGTTATCTTATTCCTATGTGTGCTACACTTTCTGCCCTGCAAGTGCCCAGGGTGGAAGCTATTAAATTTGGTGTCAATTTGGTGTCACAAGAAGTAATAGCCAAAGCCAAAATTGAATATATTTTATTCCAATCCAATGGCTTTTCTCCCTGCTGCCCCAATTCCCAAATGTGTGACATCTCTCTGGCTTACAAAGCTTCACCCATAAATCAAACCTGGCATCTGTCCTGTGTCACTCATAATCGATTACAGATATGAGCAAATTATTGTTTCCATTTAATTGTTTGTCAGCAAGATCACACTTAATAAAACCATTTTATTGAAGAATCTTTAAGCAAACTTCACCTCCAGAGCAAGCTATTTGTGTGTGCCTAGAATATCACCCATGTTTGTTTTCTTTAGGGGAAGAAAAACCTCACATTTAGAGTCAAGCACTGCTGAGTCACAGGTGTGAATGCTACAAAATCAGCAGAAAATTTGCATGTGCCATGAAGCATGCAAGTGTTTTTCAGAAACCCACTTTATCTTCATCCCTGAATTAAATCCATGCCACAAAGCTTTGAAGGATTATTTCAAAAACCTTTCTACCAAGTGTTTCCCAGCGAAGATCTAACACCCATTTGGGGCCAAAGTGATCACTGTCACCAAGGCAGTCCGGGCGAAGCATCGCGTGCTCCTGGCAGGCTTCCTGGCAGAGGATGAGGCAGCTGCCAGTGAAGAGCACCTTGGGAACACAAACAGCCTCTTGAAGGCTCAGGCAGTCCGCTTGGCTTTAAGTCTGCAACGTGAATGAATTTACTAATAGGAATGTAGTAATAGTCCAAGCTTCAAGACAGAGGGAATGAATATCCTAGCATTGGGCAAGGCTGGCACAGGGAAAGCCAGGGTTCCTTGGAAACCCTTTGGGAATGCTGAGCTGGTCCTTGGAAGCCCACTGGGAACATTCACTGAGCTGGTCCTGGCCTTGGCTCTCCTTCTGAAGCTGTTTGCTGGGAAGTTCCCAGATGGCCTGACATCACAGGGCAGGGGCCATCACAGGGCAGGGGCCATCACAGGGCAGGGGCCAGCACAGGGCAGGGCCATCACAGGGCAGGGGCCATCACAGGGCAGGGGCCAGCACAGGGCAGGGGCCATCACAGGGCAGGGGCCATCACAGGGCAGGGGCCAGCACAGGGCAGGGGCCATCACAGGGCAGAGGCCATCACAGGACAGGGGCCAGCACAGGGCAGGGCCATCACAGGGCAGGGGCCATACAGGAACCTCAGGTGCCCTATTTCACTGCTTATCAGCTTCCACAACCGAAGCAGCCTTGACTTTACAGGTCTATGGTACAAACATCACTCCCAGGAATAAAGCAAGCATTCTTTGGCTCCAGGTCTCTGCAGTGTATCTCACCCGTTCTCAGATGTCAACCAGGAGAGCAAAATTGATCCCCATTTTCCTTCCAATCCTACAGAGAAGACACAGACTCAAAATGGCACCACATTGCTTTATTCCAACCTCCAAACAACGCAGAGAAGTGATGACTTCTGATGCCAAACCATGCACATAATACAGGAACAGAACAAATCAATGACAACAAAAAGAAAATGATTACACAAACAGCTATTTCACATTTCACAGAAGTGTTCTGGCAGCGTTGGCAAGTACTTCCGGCCGACTGCCTCCTCCAACAAGGATCTGAACAAGCCCCTGATCTTAGCAAAAGTGCCACACTTGCCCCCTGACAGGTCACACTCCAAGGCGCTGTAGGTCACACCACTCCGTTCAGCAGACTTTTGTAAACTCGATCAGAGGTAACTAAATTGTGCGTGATTCTGATGAGAACAAAGTGAAAATACAACAGAGAGTGGCAGGAAAGGAGACAGGCTTCCCTAAGGCATCGGGAGCCGCTGCCGGCCTTCATCAGCTTCAAGGAAAGCCTCATTCCCTTCCTCAGCAAACCCAATATTCAGAAGCCGACTCAGCAGGTTCTAGTCGAAGATTTTAAAGATCATCTCCCCATCTTGCCCTTTTTATTTTTTCTTTTTTTGGTAAATGTTTCATATAAAGCCTGAAATCAAGTTCTATTTTATAAAAAAAAAATTGAATATCTTAATAGTAAAAATATATATATAATCTTTAAATTTCTGTTTAAAAAGACATTAATAACAATACTGCAGAAGACTGGATTGAGCGCTCCCCCTCTCGCCCCCACAGACACATTAAGGCAAAGGCTCCGGGACAGCCACATCCCCCTGGCTGGGGCTGGAGATCAAGGTGGACACATCAACAGCTGGGCTTCTCCCTCACGTTCACAGAGCCGTCCTGCATCCCGAAGTACACTCGCTCAGCCATGTTGATGAACAGGCCCGTGTCCACCATGCCTGAGGTACAAAGCACGGAAAGCAGCGTTAGGTTCCAGTTCCCAAAGCAAGGGGGCCGGCAGATCATGGGGCGCCGGAGGCCACCGCACCAGGCACAGCCATGGCTGCCTCCTTCTCCTCTCCTGTCCTGGCTTTCTCTCTGTACCCAACAGGCCAAGCTCTGTCCCACCGTGAGGCCACGGCCTGATCCCGTTCCCTTTGCATCTCACACTCAGTCACCCAAGCACTGGTCTGAGCTATTCCAGCAAAGTGAAACCGTCTCCATACTGAACACACAGACCCTCTGCCACTGCTTCCTAAGCACTGGTGCACAATGACTTACACAGCATTTAAATCACATCAGGTATTCTAAGTAACTCATGATGAGTTCACATACATGGAAGACACGCACAGGCAATGTGCCCTGAGTCATGTAAGGAACTAGCACACCCTCTGATGCTGGTACCCACAGGGAGGCCTGGAACCAATGCCCAGGGATGCCAGGGACAGCCGGACCACCCCGTGTGACCTTTACCAACCATTATATATTCACACACACACACTACGAGCTGGGAGCAGACACTTGCGCACACTGACGGTGTATGACAAGCAGAGCGCTCAGAAGCCAACAGCACCGAGTGAAATCAGAGACACCTGCTTATCCTCAGAGCCAGGCACTCCCTTCCAGCGAAGCACTGACCAGAAATGTCCACTGTGGGCATCCAGTGAGATGCTCAACTACACTATCATTAAATGAATAATACAGCTATTTCTTACAGAAAAAAAAAAAGGAAAGATTAAGGAAGCTCTTTGGTGAGTCAGTATGTCATCATCTCCAAGCCAGAAAAAGCCAGAACAGACACGTATTCAAGTACACTGTCACTTGCAAAAAAGGAGCAGGGCAGGGGCCACGGCAGAGCACCCGAGGCAGCAGCTACACTGCAGGGCCTGGCCCCTTCTAACACAGGGTCCTTCACACGCAGAGTCGGAAGCCTTAGTCCAAACGCAGAGCCGGGCAGCAGAGGTGATGGCTCAAGCACCTGAACTGGTCACTTATGATGGGAGATTCGATTAACTTTTTAGCTCCCTGGGTTACCAAGCCCAGTCCCAGCCAAGTGAATATGTGGGCAGAAAAATCTTCCACCAGCAGATGTGAGATTTCTGTCTATCTTCCCCCTACCCCAGCCCTTACATTCTCTTTCAAATAAAATGAAAATACAAACAAACATAGATAGATAGGTAGATAGATACATACATAGATAGGCAGAGAGTATTTTTTAGAAGGCGATAGAATGTTCTGCTAACAATGGCTGTCTCCTAGTTGGCTAGGCAATAGGGGAAGGGACTTGTCATGGTTTACTCACATGAACTACATCATTTCCAAAACAAAATAGAATAGTAAGCCACCAACAAAACACAGAAGTTCTGATACCAAACTGTGCCTCCCCAACCAGGGTCTCCCAGGGACGAGCAGAGCGGCCCCAGAAGACCCTCCTCCTCAAACATCATGATCCAAGAAAGGCGGATCGGTCCAGTCAGGCCTTAAAGAATGAGCAGCGAAGGTGGTGCTGTGGTGGGGTGCGTAAAGCTGCTGCCCACGGTGCCAGCACTCCACACGCATGCCAGTTTGTGTCCTGACTGCTCCACTTCCCATCCAGCTCCCTGCTAATGCACCTGGGAAGGCAGCAGAAGATGGCCCAAGGCTTGATTCCCTGCACCCACGTGGGAGACCTGGAAGATGCTCAAGACTTCCAGCTTCAGAACAGCCCAGCTACGGCCATCACGGCCTTATGAGGAGTAAACCAGCAGAGGGAAGGTCTCCGTATCTATCTTCCCCTCTGTAACTCTGCCCTTCAAAGAAATAAATAAATCTTTAAAGGGAGAAAGAGGAAGGAAGGACAGACTGGCAAACGAGCACAGACTAGTGGGCATTCTGTGGAAGGGCACAGGATGTTAAGATAAGTAGGGAGGGAAGAACCCAAAGCCACGCTGGGCTTGCTTGCCCTATTATCTGCTTAACAGTGAGTCTCTGGTTTCGTATTCCTAACTCTGGGTTCCTAATAAAACCCTGAGCTTCTCTGGATGCAGCTTCTCCAGGCTGAGATGCAAAGCAAACAGAAGGAAAACTCCCTCTCAAAGGGACTGCTCATCCCCTCACCAACCCAAAATAAGTCAGAGTGGTGCAGGGGTGCCCCCTGGTGGACACAGCAAGAAATTACCTCACAGGAGAACCATGACACAGAGCCACCATTTCCTACCCAGTCCCCTATGACTGCCTGCATTACCATCACAGGCAGCTCCCCTACTTCACTAAGAGCAGCGTCTACGTGTTCTCTCCCTCCCATCGTCACGGCTCCTTACTCTTCCATTAGGAAAGCAGCATTAGGCAAGATGATGAATACAGTTCATGAGTTGAACTATCTCTGTCTCCATAAATCTTATAAAAGATTACAGAACATTGAAATGACTAAATTAGAGTTGGAAGAATCAATTCTTTATTTCAGGACACGCAGTCACACACCGTTTCCATTCCCAGCTATCATGGATAACTGAGAACCCACGTATCTAGCAAACAGTGAAGGCATGGTGTCCTTTCCAGGGAATTATTCATCCATAAACACACCAATCCTCTCCACAACCCTGAGATAGGCTCAAGCATCAGCCCCTTTCACCAAGGAACAATGTGAAGCATACAACTTGTGCACGGTGGCACAGCATGAACAGCCAGGCTCCTTCTGTGAGCAGCCTGCTGCAGACCCCACCCTCAGCCACCAGCTCGGCTTTTCATGCTGGGCTGGCCTTGGCTGTCTTGTTAGGTAGGCAGTTCTGGCCCAAGAATAATCCATAACATGGGAAGCTCCTGGCTAGACTGCTACCTCCCATTTCTCATCTCCCTTTAACCCTCCAGGAGAGCATTGGACTCCCACTGCAGTCACTGAGGCCCATCCCTGCGCTGCCCCCGGCCACCCGTGCTCCTGCACCCTCCCAGGCACGAGCTGCATGGGGGCTCTCCCATGGCCCACACATGGTCACACTACCTCTCCCAAGCCCAGCTCTTGACACCATGTGGGGATTAAAGTTCAAGGTATGGCAGCCAACACAGGACTGCCACCCTGGGGCTGCAACCCTGGTTACTGAGTAATCTTCCTCAGCCTGCGTCTTCTTCCACTGCTTCCTCATCAGTGTGGACATACATCGTTTCAGGCACTCAGCACTGTCTAGATTATATTACACTACAGGCACTCAGCACTGTTTGATTATGTTATGCTAAGACATAGGCTTAAATCTATTTCGGAAACCTCAACATCTTGGAACTCCCTCACCCTCTCCGAAAGAAGCAACTCTGTACTACAGACTCCCAGAATCCGCCTCGCAGAATTCAGCCCATTCTATCTCATCCGGGAGCAGAGATCCACTGCTTCCTCCCAAAGATGCTGCGTAGGCACCAATGATTCCTGGGGAGCAAAGATGCAGGAAGCCAAGCCAGAAACCCCGAATACAGTAAGAAGAAAGTCGAGTTCTTCCTTCCAACCAAGTTGTTCAAAGCCCGTGTCCCCTACGTCTCCCGCAGCCAGGCTCAACGGACAGGTGAAGGGCACGGGACCACACGCCCAGGAGATGCTACTCACGCTACCTGGGATCATTTTGATGGCCTTGTTCACTTCACTCCATTGATGGACTCGATCAAACTTCCAGTCCAGGATAAAATTCCCATTATCCGTCACCACAGGACCCTAAAAGATAATTTTCCACATTGACAAAAGATATAAATACAGACAGGAAGAAATACAAAAAAACAGAAATGATAACCAAAGGCAAGAATCTTAGTTAACGCACTCTGGCTGGCACTTGCCCCTTACACCTTCTGGAAGGCATGCTGGGAAGGAGTACTGAGCAGGAGCTTTGGCGTGAGTGGGACTCGGGGTGTGCGTTTTAATGCCACACAGGTAAAAACTGGAGAGGAGCCATTAACTCCCGTGAGCGTCAAAGCTTCTGTACTACAAGACTCGAATACATGATACGTCATCAGGGCAAATACATAAACATTGCCTGGGATGACCAAGGGCTCAACAACCCTTGGCTGCTATTATGCTGAAAAATTACCACAGAACAGATCGCTGACATTACATGGCAGGAGCAGCAGCTCTGAGCTCAGACAGGCAGGGGCAGGTTCAGTTCACTGATCTCAAGTTCCTCAGTACCTCTGCATACTGGAACAGCAGAGGCAGAATGCAGGAAGACAAACGCTGACAGACAACACAAAGATGAGGATTCTAGAGAATTCTCTGCAGACCAGCAGGAACTCAGGGTGGTGGTGGTGGTTAGGACACTGCTTGGGACACCCAAATCCCACAGCAGGGCATCTGGATGCAGGTTCCAATTCTGCCCCATTGGAGATTCTTATTAACGCACACCCAGGGAAGGCACTAGAAGTAAAGGCCCCAGTCCTTGGGTGCCCAGGAACCCAGGTATCAGATTCAGACTGAGTTCCTGGCTCCTGGCTTCAGTCCGGCCCATCCCTAGCTGTTGTGGGCACTTGGGGAGTAATCCAGTAGACAGGAGA